ACGAACCCGCTAAGTGGATTTTGCACCACGATAACGCACCGTCACACACAGCACTTTCCGTTTAGGAGTTTTGGGGGAAAAATCAATTACAGTACTTGAACACCCCCCTTATTCTATGGATCTCGCTCTGTGTGGTTTTTCCTTGTTCCCTAATGTGAAGAAACACATCAAGGGAACACATTTTTAAACCGTGAAAGAGATTCAGAAGGTTACGACTGACGTTCAAAACATCTTGCAGGAAATTGATTTCCAGAAGTGCTTCGACAATTGGAAAAAATGCTGGAATTCATGAATAGGGAATGAAAGGGAACTACATTGAAGGAGACCAACACAGTTTACAATAATATAAAATATATAGCTATTAAAAAATACAGTCCCGTTATTTTATCGTCAGACCTCTTATTTCATTGCATACATACAGTATAGAAAAGAAAATGCGTACGTGTCTTTTGGATAGCCACGTGCCATAGTTCCCGAACTCTATTATCACTACCGGATATTTCCTGTTGATTCAGAATTCAAGATTGTGAAATACACACCATGCTTTCGAATGTACTCGGCCACAGCAGCTCTTCAAGCAGAAGCTAACACGGTCTTATTAGTTCGTTACTCTCACTGACCTAATTAGGCTCGAGTCAAAGTATCCATGCATGGTTTGTGAACCTGTCTCACGAGAGTCTGTACCCATCACGACGCCATCTAGTTAAGAAACGAAATAGAATAATTTTCTCTTCTGAAATGCAAAGCTAAGAACCAGATGCTCTATGTTCAACTTAATTGCCAACGCTGAGAAAGAAGCACTTGTCTTGGTGCAACCAAGCAATGAATTCACGACTTCCATGTTCAATGTTAAGGTCTCAGTTGGAATGTGATTCTTTTTCTGAGGAAACAATTTAACCAGATTTAATATGAGAACATACTACATACAGACAAAAGGGTCGAGCGCGCCACGAAGATGGCGACTCCCACTCGTTTTTCTCTCTCAAGAAATTTTACGTTATGTGCGATTCTGCTCCTCCTGATCTCACGTGTGAACTCACTAAGATATGGTAGGGACATCCTACTCTCCATAACTCTAGACGCACACACGCAGATAGACCCAAAAGTACTTTGGCTTATCGGAGACCTAGGCCTACGGAAACCACCTGGTGGGGAGAACACCGACCCGTCGTCAGGACTAGGCTTACGAGCGAGGGGCGCAAGGGTCAGCCAGCGAAAGGCCCACCGAGGCGTTCGAGCCGGAAAAGAAACCCAACGGAAGAAAACCTCACAACATAGTACCCTGTTCAGCTCGCTACTATGGAATGTGGAGGGCCTGAAATCCATCCTGAAGCTTAGCCCGGAAGATGTATTCTCCAAGCACGATGTCATTCTACTCACGGAAACCTTTGCAGAAGAACCAGTCGAGTTGAATGGCTT